CTTTGAGGTGGGGCCGATGGGCTTTGGGCATTCACAAGCCATGACCCTCAAGGAAGCTGGAGATCCTCACTTCTCAGGCCCCTCACCTTGGGCTGTGCAAGCTCATTCTTCATCGGTGACCGACCGGTGACTCTGACTCACCATTAGAACCACAGGGCGCCATGCAGCCCCAGGAAGAAGGAGTGGTTGTCTCTATGACTAGGGTATAAAATTCTAAGCCGCTTGCAGTGAGAAGTCTCCCAATGGGGGAGAGGCTTGCCTCAGCCAGCACAAGCCTCTTAAAGGAAACAGGCTGTTTAGATACCTGGGCCTTATCTGCTGCCTACATGCTGTCTGCGCTGGTCATTCACCTCCTTTAGCAGAAATCCAGGTTTGGAAACCAACTCACAGGCTTTAACCATGCTCTGTAGGCCCTGTGCAGCTCCCAGCATCCCCAACAAGCAAGCGTGGAGCAGGCCACAGGAAAACCAGCAGCCCTGGCAACAGTAAGGCAGACATTCATCCCCTTATCAGAGTGACAACCAACTCCAAATGCTACCTCATTGGGGGCTCCCACCAACATGCCTACAAGATAAGTCATGGTTTGCCCATGCCTTGGTCCCTGATGTATTGATTGGGCTTGTAGATGGTGTTGTGGGTTGGACTATGTCAATTCAATGGGATACAACTGTGATTGATTTGATGCTGTCTTTGCAGATGTTGCTAGTTCAAGAGGAGGTCATTAGGATGGGTTCTAACCCAACGGTTAACGTCCTAAAAAGAGGACAGTTAGACTTAAGTGTGTACTGGGTAGGGAGCCGCCTGTTGTTAGGACAGGGTTGTTCAGGGTTGGCGGGAGAGTCAGGAGAGAAGCCTAAGTCCTGACCGGTCAGCAACCAGGGAGCCCTTGTCATCTTCCCTCATAGCTCTGACACAGCTCCATGTGGAACGTCTGGCCTGGTGTTCACAGAGACCCACTTGTGATACTCCAGTGCAGCATCCCATACCACTTGCACAGACGGCAGCCTGAAAAGGGTGGAGCAGCAGGCTGGGTCTGCCCTGCAGAAACATGGCAGATTTGTGGATGAGCACTCCACAGCTCTGCACTGCTGAGAGCTTGTGGGGGACACCGTCTGTCACTACTCCCTGTTGCCAGTGTCCCGTCCTTCCAGGAACAGTCTCCACTAGGATCTCCCGGACCTTCTGGAGTTCAGAACTGATCAATTATACAAGGGGGATGCGGTCTGCAAATGGCCCCACCGGCCCGTCTTCTTCCGGCTCTTCCCCGAGAAAAAGCTCAGAATGAAGGGTGGGAGTTTGCTCAGTCTTCCCACTTACTACCAAGAGATCCCAGGGGGAGACATTCTTTGGCCTTCGTAGAGAGTTCTTGAACCACACTAGGTCTTGAAACCAACCATGTGTGGATGAAGCTTTTTTTAAAGTATTGATTGATTGATTGATATAGTGCAGGCCAGAAAAGGGTACCAAGATCCATTACAGATGGCTGTGAGCCACCATATGGTTGCTGGGAATTGAACTCAGGACCTTTGGAAGAGCAGGCAAAGCTCTTAACCACTGAGCCATCTCTCTAGCCCCTGGATGAAGCTTTTTTTTTTCTTCCCTAGGGTTTTAACTGTTTGGAAAGAGGGCACAGGGTGACATCTTGCAGGGGAGGGCCCAAGAGGAAGACAACTCAGTGACGGACTTTGTGATGCTATCCCTCAACCAGGCCTGGCTTGCCCAGGTGTTGCATATAGAGAGTCTTTCTCGACCCCCTCCTGGCATGACAGCCTCAGCTGAGGATGGGGTCCTCTGCAATGCCTGGACTTCAGGCAAGCTGAGTAGGAAGCAGGAGGGCTCCACTCTGTCCTCTCCAGGGCAAGCTTGGGGCAGGATCTCCCTCCAAAATCCTTTCATCCAATGGTAACAGTAGTTTCTGTTTCTCCAAGGCTCCATGAGCTCAAACCGGGCTGTTCCTACACTAAGTGAGCGCCAAGCACACCATAGAAATGTGCTTGAAGACTCATGGGAAGACAAAACACCTGCAGCCAGCTGGGCTGGTGGATAGTAGAAGTGCAGCTGGGCACTGGCGGACTGGTTCAGAAGTGAGGTTCTGGGGCACACAGGTTGTTTATTTGGGTGCTGTGGGGCAGCACATAGATCTCCTGAGACCCAGATGTGGAGATTCCTGCTAGTTCCTCAGAGGTCTGAGGCTGGGGAGCCCCATGCTAATTTTTCCTTTCCTAAGGTCCAGGAACCTGTGATCAGGATGCTTTCTAGGAAGCAGGGAGCAGCTTCTGGTGCTGTTGCATAACGTGAAACTAAGGACATGTTGCTGCCAGCCCAGGCTTCTGACACCCTAGATGCCGCAGGGCACAGCAGCATAGGCTGGGGGAGGATGGTTGAGTGTGTATGTGTGTGAGAGACAGAGGGGGTGGGAGAGACCCAGGTAGCTTCCTACTACTAAGACAGGAGACAGACACGCAGGTAGCTTCCTACTATTCAAGGTGGGAAAAGATCATAGCTTGCTAAACTTCAGGCTAGAGGTGAGCCACATCTAAGGGCAGGGACTACCTGATTGCAGAAACATCATGCTGATTTGCTCACAGTCTGGGGGAGACTCTGTCCCTCTGTCTGACAGACTACATGGCAATAGGTTTGTGTGCACTACTCTCAGGAAGGGTCATGGCCCCTCTGTTCTAAGGGGCACCCCACTAGTATTACAGATTCTAGCTACTTGTTTCCAAAGAGAACCCCTCTCCCGAAAATACAAGGTAATAGCTGGCTGCTTTCTGAATCTAAAACTACCTCACCTGGGTATGGGTCTGCTAACTGCCTTGTCTGGGTTCCCTGTCCCCGTCAGGACTTACTCTGATGTCCCTCCAGAGACTTCTAGACGTGGAGTCACCTGAAGGTGCCAAGGCCAACGGGGGAGAAGACTAGGTAGTGCGTTCTGGTGGATGCTGCCGCACGGCTTTGCTAAGGGGGTGACTACCCTCAAAGCCCAGACACAGGGCTGAGAAGGGTGTAGGCCCTTCTGGGCACAGGTGTCACATCTCATCCTGCAAGCTGTGAAGGGCGGCCAACTCAGGGCTTCCACAGACCGGATCAAAGAAAGGAATCAGAAGTTCTACAAGCCCAGAGAGGGGGTAAGGGCCAAAGCTCACCATGGGGTGTAATGTTCTGGAAATAGAGGACACATTTAGGAAGGCATATGCAAATGAGACTCGCAGCTCAGACTTCTGTTGTCCTGTTCAATCTGCTCAGAGGGATGGCTCTGCCTGGAGTAGGTTAGGTTTTTTTTGTTGTTGTTTGTTTTGGTTTTTCAAGACTGAGTTTCTCCGTGTAACAGCCCTGGCTGTCCGGAAACTTGATCTTATAGACCAGGCTGGCCTTGAACTCACAGAGATCCACCTGAGTGCTGGGATTAAGGGCGTGCACCACCACTGCCCAGCTAGGTTTTTGTTGTTGGTTTTCGGAGACAAGGTTTCTCTGTGTAACACCTCTGGCTGTCCTGGAACTCGCTTTGTAGACAGGCTGGCCTCAAACTCACAGTGGGAACCATGAACTCAAAAAGTAGTTAGTCACATAGGACACAAGAAAGGGATCCCTTCCTGCCCCTTGCTTTCCTCGGCCCCTCCCCCCAGGCCTCCTGAGGGATGGGACCAGATGCCACAGTGTACAGGGGCTAATGAGCCCATACTTGATCCGGTGAGTCCCAAGACCTACTGCCTGTGCTGTCCAGGAAGCAGAGCACAGCCTGGGAGATCAGGCTGCCCTGTACCCCTGTCCAAGATGGAACATGTGACCATTGTAGATGAATGGCTTTACCATCGGCCATTCCTCCTTGTTCCCCAACTGTCACAAGTGTGCAGGCTCTGCAGTTTTGAGGAGCCTCAGAGACTGCGCTTGCACAGTGGCCTGCAGAGGGGTGGCATAGAAGTCAGGAGCATCTCAAGCGCAAGGATGCAGCTGAGGTCACGGCCTGCAGCTGCCTCCAGGGTTTCCTGGGCACCCAGAGATCATGCCCTATGATGACTCTCTGTGTCACTGTGGTCGGTCATAGCACAGGCCTGGGCCTGTGAGAGCACCGCTTCAGCCCCTGCTGGTCAATGAATGCCTGCCCAAGAAGGGGTAGTCTTAGGTGGCAGTCAAGGGATGAACATAGACCAGCCTTGCTCAGATGTAGTTGACAGCTCACTTCTGGAAACCAATGGGGAGGCCAGCCTTGCTGCAGCACTACTGACCCCAGAACCTGACACTGTCTGCAAGGGTTCCCAGCCATGGGAACCTCCTAGATAGAAGTCTGAAGGTGACTTTGCTTCTTATAGGGCAGTTGCCCAGCAACCAGTTCCTCTTAAGTTACGGTCTGTGGGTGGAAGGTTCTGACTTGTCGGTCCATGTCCACTGAAGTGTGAACTGTTATGACAGAGACCTGCCACTGGGTGCTACCTCAGGACGAAGTAGTACAGTAAGGCAGGCAGCAGTCTACTGCCCCATCTGCTGCATGAAGTTTGCTGCCCCGACTCCTCAGCTTTTGTTTATTGTTGCTTTGAGACAAGGTCTTATTTGTAGTCCTTACTGACTTCCTGGAGCTTTCCAAGTAGCACAGGCTGGCCTTAAACTCACAGCAATCCTGCCTCAGCCTCAAGTGCTGGGTACTCCCTGCATGAACCACTTTTCCCAGCTCTCCTCAGCTATTAGAAACCCTTGGTGAGCTAGATGACATCAGGGCACCCTGTGCCCTGGAGGTGGCCCCTGGAACAGTCACAACAGCTAGCCTACCTCCCAAGAGCCAGGATCCAGCCTCAGAAGAGTAAGAAACAGGAGCCTCTGGGAGAAGGAACTGGTGCTCATGACTCTACCACTCTACAGGCCATGCAGAGGCCAGGAAAAAGGTGACCAAGGGCACATGGTGGTCCAACTACCAGAGGAAAAGCACCGTCAGGTGAGGAAGGGCTGTGGACCCTGGCAGCCCCTAGCCGACACTGACAGTCAAACCCAGCACCAAGGCTGCCGCGGATGCTTGCAAACAATTTATTTAAACTCCTCTGAAAAGGCGGGATTTGTGCCATGAACAGAATAAGATGCCGACACCACTGAGCAGGCCTCTCTGGCCTCTGAGGGCCCGACCACTGCTAAGGGCAGTCCCTGCCTGAGGAGGGATGTGGTTGGCTCTGGAAGGTGACAGGGAGCCATAGACAATTCCTGGGGTAGGAGAAGGACCCCCTTCTGCCTCGACTGTCCTCCAACTGCTGGAGCAGCCATAGCAAGTGGCCAGGGGTGTTAGGATTTTGTCTGGGTCATTATCATAAAGAAAACTGCAAACAAACAAGAGCCTCTTCCTCAAAGAGCAAGTGGCTTGGGGACACCACCTCTGGCTCACACACAGATGAAGCCCTGGCTATGCCCACTCTCCTTCCCACTTTGCACTGATCCCACACAGTGTTTATTTTTGACTATTTTTTTTTAAAAAATATAGCTTTGTAAATGCTCCATAAAAATACTGTTCTTCCTAGTCAAACACAGGTATTGCGGTATGAAGAGGAACTGCTTTGTCTTTGCTCTATAAAACGTGAAAAGATTATCACACAGGATAAGATAGAAAAACGCAGGGTTCCTAAATATCACAAAAGCCAGTACCAAATGCTTACGGTGGAAGCGAAGCTGGGGACCGGGTGGGCTGGCAACCTGGCTAGGCGCCTCCTCCCCTGGTCCTGCTGGGGCACAGCTTAGGGCACCTCATCCTTCTCCACACGAGGATATCACGGCTGGGAAAGGCAGCCAACTGCTCTAACCCAATGGCCAGCACCTGCCTCTTGAAGCACCGATGACCCAGTGCTGCTGGCCGGGACCCAGTGGCCCTGTTTGATAGCAAGAGGCCAGCTAGCCAGCACCCCCGCCCTGGGGGCTCTGAGACCAACTCTCCTTGTGTGAAATTCCACTTAGCCCAGTGGCGCACTCCTGTGCAGGTGCCAGGGCAGGAGGGCAACCGCCCTATCCCTTGATGCAGGATTGTGTCTTCGGCCCCTGACTTGAGGCAGGTGGCCAGGCTGTGTGTGCCTCAATTCTCAGAGAGGGACAGAGCCAGGGCAGCCTGGAAGGCGGCTTCTTCGTCAATGCTGTAATCCTGGAAACAAGTACAGGTAAGTTTTGGGAGTGCTGGGAGGACCAGGATGGCTCCCAACAGCCAGACCACTTCCATGCTAATCCACCCAAACACCATTCTATGAGCTCAAGTCTCCCTTCAAAAAAAACCTCAGGATGCTAGAGCCCTATCTAGCTCCCCAGTCCTTCCCAGCGGCTTCCCAAAGTTCTCCCAGGATCATGTTGCAGGTCAGTAGTCTGCAAATTTGAGACTAAGAGGGGTGGGTTCATGAATGAGCTGGTTTCCCTTCAGATGGGAACAGTTTCTTTGTCCAGCTTATTCAGTGTGTGTGTAGAGATGTATGTGACATATGTGGGGATGGGAGTTAGAGGATTTTCTAATTTAGGGATCCAGGGATTGAGCACAAGTCGTCAGGCTTGGCAGCAGGAGCCTTTATTCACTGACCCATTTTCCTGGCCAAGAACTGGGGTTTCTGAGATGAAAGTTTGGTCAGGGGCAACGAGATCTCCGGCCCTGGGGACCAGAAGAAAGACAACCCTAGCTGGCTGGAAGCTGCAGGAGGTGATGGATACATGGGGGATGCCTAGAAGGAAAAGCCTGGGTGAGGGGCAGCAGGCGGGCTGTACCCTTCTGGCCCAGCTGGGGTTAGGCAGCTTCTCTTCACGATCACCTTGAGGTGAGTTTACCAGGGACTTTGTCTCTGAAGCTGCTACAAAACCAAGGTACTGCCTCAGATAGCCCAGAGTGGGCACCAAGGGACCCGGAGCAGCTAGCCTCATGCAAATCAGAGCCCTTGACAAGTTTGGGCGCCTGGTGCCCTCCAGTGGCAACTGAGTCTTGGCACTGTCACGACCCAGGCGAGCCTGAGGGAGCTGGGTGGAGTACCTACCACGAAGGTGTCGTAGGAGAACTTGTGCCGGTGCAGCAGGTGCTGCAGGAAGTTGGCGCTTTTGTAGCTGGGGTCCCCCCAGGGCATTGCCGAGCAGATGGGACACACCTAGAACACAGAAGTTGGGGGTAGCAGGGAGGGAGCCTCCCCTGTCTGCTTGCCCACTCACCCAACCATAGCATGGTCTGCAGAGCAGCACCTAAGGTACACACTTGTGTATCCTCGTCCCCAGACCAGGCCTGACCCCTGTGTCTCCCTCAGGCAGAGGCCCTGTGCTGCCGATGCTCACCACACGGTTGGGGTCACTGCGATGGCTCTCCACACAGTGCTTCACCAGCTCCTGCTGATCCAGATTGCGGGCTCCACAGTAGGGACAAGCAAAGGTAGACCGGTTGGGGATATTGCTGGGGATGGAAGACACTGAGCGAGGTTAGGGCTGAGAGCACTTGTCCCAACTCCTCCTGAAACCTGCCCTCCCCTCTGTGGACAGTCTGGCCCTAAGGAGAACCATACACCTTGTAAATAAAGTCCTGGTCCTCTATTTACCCCACATGCTGGACTAATGAGATAGGGCCATGACAGAGGGGAGGTGACTATAGGGTCCTTGGCCTAGGAAGTATCCTCACTCTGCCCATCTTGGCTGCCTACCTGGGGATGGGCTGGGATGTGGGCAGCACAGGGACGAACTTGGGGCAGTTGGCCATCTGCTCCTGGACCTTCATGCAGGAGGAAATGTGCACTCTCATCTTTGCCAGAGTCACCTATGAGACGAGAGGAGAAGCAGACTGGGCAGGTCATGACCTTGGGCAGCAGGGACAGAGAATGACCAGCAAAAGATCAGATCCACCCCTTCTGCTCCTAAAACACTCACAGGCTCTGGGGCTACCAGAAGGGACCCTGGTGAACAAGAGGGAACACAAGAAGACACACAGGTCTCTACAGAGCCATATAGACAGAAGTGTTCATGGCTCTTAGGGTAGCTGTATAGAGCAGGTGCAGGTCACTAATCCCCAGGACACGACTAGCAGGTCCCTCTCTTGGGGACTCAGAGAAGCTGTTCCAATGAGTGGACAGGATCCATACCTACTAGGAAAAAAGGCTCACACCCCCAGGGGGAAACCAATGAAAGACCCCTGCTCTGACAAATACCTTTAGTGGTGAAGATCACAATGCAGTGTGATAATTACCACTCAGCGTCCTCATCACAGCCACCAAGGGCTCAATGAGTTGCCCGGAAGAGAGAAAAGAACCCATGGTCAGCCTTTCCCCGAGGGTGCATACCAAGGCTGGGGGTAGACCTCAAAGACTGAGGGGGAAGGAGGACATGCTACTATACCAGCCTTGGCAGGTGGGTACAGCACACGTTCCCAGAGTTTGTGCCTAAGACCTGCAGGGGTCCAAGAAGGTTTTCCTTGAGTCACTTGTCACAGCTGGGTACCCATGCAGCAGGGAAAATTTGTTTCAGAAGACAGTTTGAAAATTGAGGTGTTCAAGTGAGGGGTGGGGCTACTTCACATGTGACACCGACAGGCTGCTGGCCTCTAGCCTCCCTAGGAAAGTCTAGCCAGGGCACACAAGCACCAAGGAGGACCATGGCAACCGACTCAGCCTCACTATTCCAGGCCCAGGGCAGTTCTAGTTCATCTGCCTGGTGACCTTTAACACTGTGACAAGTTCACAAAAACAGTAACTAGAGACACAGGGAGCCTGCAACATAAATGATAAGTGCACTCCCAGCTGCTCAGTTTCCTGGGAACAAAGGGGAAAGGGGGAGCGAGGCAGGCTCTGGGACAGGCTGGAAAGAGGCCTGAAGCCCCAACTCCAGTGGCAGGACCTGTGCGATGGTGCAGGAACAGCGCTCACGCTATTCTCCTCAGGACAGATGTTAGCATTAGGTGCACGGAGCTCAGCCTCGAAAGGCCCTGTCTCTGTTGGGCTGCACCTGCCACCTCAGAGTCCCCAGAACCTTCTTGGCTTCCCCAGATTTGTCTCTCACAGCCTGAGTGCTCGGTCTGCAAGAGCCGCAGTGCGGAGTCAGCTGAGCCTAGGTCAGGCCGCTGTGACGGCATTGCTCCCCTGGAGATCTGAGAGGGTCTGCCAGGTAGCTTCACGCTGAAGCAGATGTGGTTACTCGACAGGAAGGGTTGTGAGCCCATGCACCCAGTTCCTCTATGGGACAGTGGAACCCATGAGCGGAAGCTGCCCCACCCAGAGCCTCCCAGCCTTAGGAAACCCGAGCAGGGCGGGTACCTTCTTGTTGCAACCCCGGCAGGGTGCCTTGTAAGATGAGAGCTGCTTCTCTACATGAGAGGCCTTGTCCACTTTCTTGGGGTCGAAGGGCAGACGGCAGAGCGGGCACAGAGGGGATGGCACCTGCAGACATGGCTGGAGGCACTCCCCGCAGAACCTGCAGGTGACATGGACCTGAGGCTACTTCTTCCATGCCAGCATGTACAGAGTGGCTCCCCAGTTGCTACTAATAGTTCTGGAGACAGTCTTATGCTCACGTTCCCACCCCCCTGCTGGTTAAGAGGTGAGTTGTCCCTTCCTAGTACAGCCCTCCTGTATGTGGTGTATCCCCTGCAGCCGGTACCCAATAACAGCATCCCTGGGATAGGATGATCACTTCCTGAGAGTCTAGAGATCATGCGACGGTAACTGACAAAACCTCAGGGGTCGGGGTATCAGTCAGGGGGCCAGGGAGGAAAGTGACTAACAACTGCGGGGGAACAAAATGCCAGGCCTGGAGCCCTTTCACTACATGGTCAACATTGGCCAGGCAAGTCTCCTGAGGCAGCAAGGGGTCTTTTTTTTTTTTTTTTTTTTTAAGGAGACCTAAGGTTGGAACCACCCAACAAGGGGGAGTGTGAGTGGGCATGGCTTCAAAAGTCCCTTCAACAGCCTACTTTTAAAAAATTTTTATTTATTTTTACGTACCAATTGAAATTCCCCCTTCCTCCTCTCCTCCCCCTTCCCCCCAGCCTACCCTCTATCCACTCCTAAGAAAGGTTAAGGCCTCCCCTGGGAAGTTAGCTAAGTCTGTCCCATCACTTCGTTGAGGAGGACCAAGGCCCTCCCCAGGAGGGGGTTCTTGAATTCGGAGTCAAAGCCTGGTGACAGGAGGGACTACCCTGGCTTGGGTACTGGACACAAACTTGGAGCACTGAGAACTGGTAGGGGCCCAGTCTCTTTCTGGCACGCTCCGAGATGCCAGCAGTAGGAGCTCTGTCCTTGCCTGCCCACACCCCAGCTGGTGTTCGCAGGATCTTCCATTCATCAGATACACACCGTAGGGAACAGAAAGGAACGGGGCATAGCTGTGCAAGTTGACAACTGTTCTTGTTGTCAACTTGACTTTATCTGGACTTATGCTGGGCACACCTATGAAGGACAGTTTCCTAATTAAATCATTTGAAGTAGAAGACCCACTTTTATTGTGTTTTTTTCTCAAGACAGGGTTTCTCTGTGTAGCCCTTGCTGTTCTGGAACTTGCTCTGTAGACCAGGGTAGCCTTGAACTCAGAGATCCACCTGCCTCTGCCTCTTGAGTGCTAGGATTAAAGACGGAAGACCCACTTTTAATCCAGATATTTTGAGGTGGGAAGACCCACATTTAACCTGGACTATACCTTCTGCTGACAACCTATATAAGGAACATGGGAGAAGGAAGCTTGCTCTCTTTGCCTGCTTGCTCTTGCCTTACTGGCAAATCCATTCATAAATTGGCATTAGAGGCAATTCTTTTGGAATTCTGGCATATACCGAAGATGAACTGAGACATCCAGACTTGTGGACTGAACAACTACTGGATTCTTAGACCTTCCATTGGTAGACAGCTATTGTTAGGATTAGCAGGACCACAGCCTGTAAGTCATTTTAATCAATCTCCTTTATATTTATATACACATATGTACACATATATGCATATATATTAATTCTATAAGTTCTGTTTCTCTAAAGAATACTGGCTGATACAGATTTTGATGTCAGAATTAGTTTTAAAGCAAGAGAAGCATAAGGAAAACTTTTGAAGTATCTGGAATGGGCTGTCCAATTTGCCAGCACCCACAATTCCTGAAAAGCTTGGAGAGCACTGGAAGTTCATGGTGTTAACTATTTTATAAACTTAAGGGATAAATGGACTTGATTATTTTGATTCACTAATTGTTAGAGGCAATGGATTTGGTGATTCTGTATATAAAACTTTTGACAATTTGTGGAAAAATAAGGGAAATGATGCTGCTGGTTGGTCGCCCCTAGCATCTCTGGATGAGTTCTGTAATAAAATTAACCAACTTACAGCATCTCATATGGGGAAGGACAACAAAAGAATCAGTGATTAAAACCAACTAGTTCCAGATGTGCATCAACAGTCTAAAGAGTGCTCTGGAAGAGAATCTTCTGTCCAGCAGCCACAGAGCTCAAGATGCAGAAAATCAAAGCTCATTTATAAGGTTGGCTGAATTACAACAAAAATTCAAGTCCCAACCACTGAGGGTGCAAGCATTAACTGGTAAAGAACAGAATCCTGTAAACTGGAATAGAGATGTGCTTCATCCCCAAACTCCTGAAACACTGCCTTTTCCACCTTTGACTAAGGAAATCCCTCATTGTCTACTAAACCAGCAGTGACTTTCTGTGAACGAGATGCCAGGTCAGGTAGTACTGATGTCCCCCAGGGCCCATCAATAGCTGCCTCTAGACCTGTAACCAGACTGAAGTTTTTAAGAACATATAAATGCACATTAACGTGCTCCTGCAGGGAAGCAGGAAGTGTAGCCCAGGAGGAAGTGCATTACACTACTAATAAAGAGCTTAATGAGTTTGCTAATTCAGTCAAGCAAGTTAGAACTGGATTTTAAGGGTGTGGGATAATGGTGGAGGAACGTAAAACTGAACCAGGCTGAGTTTACAGTATGGGTACACAGAATGAAGGAGAGTCTAGGTTGAGGATGGAAGCTCACGGTTTTTTTCCTGCACAAGATCACAAGTGCTGATGGCACCTGGGAGGACGAGGGGCACTGACTCAGCCCCCAGAAAGATGGCAGCATCGAAGAGTGTGAGGAGGCTGCAAGAAGCCAGTGTGAAGTCTGACTGTTTCCTGTGACTTCTCAGCAGGCTCTGCGGTGGGGCTGAGAAGTCACGTTGGTCAGAAGGGATGGGAGAATCTTCTTGAATCCGCAGATGACTTAGCCAGCGCCCCTCTGGCATTATGAGATCTCAAGGAAAGGTCCCTTTGCAATGAGGACAGCAGGCCTACAGTTCAGGCCATGTCAAAAGTTACTGCACTCTCGTTTTTGAGGGAGCCACGACCTGACAAGACATGTTTAACCAAGCTCAAAGAAGCAAGATCAGCCTAAGACCTGGCAGCAGCAACTGTGAAAGGATTTTCAGAAGCACTTTCCTGCCGTCAAGACTGGCTCCTTGTCACCTACCTTACCCCACAGAGCAGGGTGAGATGGCATCAGCAACCACACACCCAGCCCTGAGACCCCAGCAAGTAGTCCCAAGATGGCCTCTGTCACTGGCCCTAAGATTTGATTAGCTGGACGGCCAGCCAATCCCTATGAGGCTGGTAAAATGGTGCATCCAGTGGGGCCCCATGACAGCCAACATGCCAGCGTCACAGCAGAACCCAGGTGTGCAGGGTTCTACTCACAAGAAAGCCTCAGGAAGGAAATTGCTTCCGGTCAGCTGGCTCAAAGATGTGCATTTTTAAAAGGTGAGACAAAAGCTTAACCCTCACACTCATCTGAACACAGACTACACCCAACAGACTGCAGATTAAGTAGGTGAGAACAGCTGGGGAAATGGAAAATGGAACCAGCAAAGAAAGCAGGACCACCCAGGTGAAGGCTGTCGGACAGAAGCTTGCAGAAGCAGCAATGGAAATAGTTTTACAGGACAGATGTTTTCCAATCCCATGTTCTATCTTGCCAGGGAGACAGCATAATAAGACTTGGGGGGAAAGGGTGTCAAGTACTGCTTGGTGAATACTAGGAAACGGAAAACATGGTGGCCTGTGTGCACTGAGTGAAGGGGCTGGAGACAAGGCTTTCAAAATGACAAACCTCACAGAACACACCGTAAAATGCCTACTCATGCAAGCATACAAAAAAAAAAAAAAGAAAAAAAAAGAGGGTCCTGATCAAAGGTTTCCTGCTAGAATGTCCCAGTAGCATTAGACTGAGTAGGAGCTGTGCCCTTACAGACAATTCCGCAGAGCTCTCTCCAGTGGGAGCAGGATCCCTGTTCAGTCTGACACTGGGGCAGGGAAAGGGAAGGCAGTTTTGGAGGGAGACAAGGTCCTTGCCACCTCCCTGGATGACTAGCAGGCACACGCCCACCCAGCAGTTCCAGTTCCCTCTGCAGCAGAGTCTCCAAAATCAGCTGCCTCTGTTTGCAAAAAGCCTCCCACCAATTTGCGTGCACCCCAAGCCGAGGAGAGTCCCACCTCCTGAGCAGCGTGGCCCTCTACTGAGAAGTCCTCCTGCCCTTTTTCTAACTGCTCATCTCAAGAGCTGTACTGTGGGGAGGTCATGGAGCAGACGCTCTATCTTGGCTCCCTTCCAACCAGGCTGGCGCTGGGAAGGCCTTGAGCACCGCGCTCCCTCCAGCAGTCACAACCTCAAGTTTTAGTTCCTGAAACACGGAGGAGGAGGAGCCAGATTTGGGGGAGGTCCTGGCTCGGCTGGGCACCTAACAAGGTCTCCGGTGTCTGGGGCCCGGTAGGCCCTGCTGCCTGGAAGCTTCAGGTTCAGAATAGTCCTTCAAAACAAAACAGCATCAGGCTCCAAACGATCCCCTCTCCTAACTTCAGCGAACTCATTTCCGTGACAGTCAAAACGAGCAGACATGGGGTGGATAAGAGTGGATTGCAAAAGCCACAAGTCATTTATTTACAACGGCCCGCCCGATCTCTACAAGCCCGAACGCCCGCGCTTGGCGCAGGGGCCTCGTCCGCCACCCTCGAAGCAGCCGGCGGCCGTTAGCAACGCGCGGGGCCGGGGCGGGTGCAGGGTTTCCCTTGGCC